GTCTACATTGGCTTCTAGACACGTTTGCCTCAGAGGAGTTTTAGAACCAGCGAAGTGGATCACTGAAACAATAGTTTTATTCGATCGACGTTTTGGATTCACCCTCAAAATTATTATCGGAGATAGCTAGAGATAAGGCACACAGAAGAGGCGCGATACAGTACTATACATGAAATAACTATATCCACCATCAGTACCAATGATGGGGCCGTGGTAATCGGCGACTCAGATGTGGGTTACCAAGTACGAATTAAGACGGGAACTACTAATTTTAACGAGTACTTAGTTGCACAGTCTGTACGTTCTACAAATATGGCACTCCTTTGTGTTCGCTACCCTGGCCTATTTTCATCCCTAACGGTAGGTTCGTGGATGAATCCGAAACGGACAAGCACATCCTGTTTCAGTGACAATCCTCTCATGTGCTTGCCTTTAAGTTACAGGTTGTCATCCTACGCTTGTCAATCATTATATTACTAATGCTCATTCCGCATGCCGGTTAGATCACCTCTGCATTCTTGGGATGAGAGCTAAAACGCATCAGGATTGAGGTTTTCAGTGACGGTAGCCCTTGTGGTAGAGGGACTATTTACTTAAGAACTCGGGTAACTGGCAATTTTGTCTCTTGTTATGGTGCCAATGGGCATCGCTAATGACGACTTATTAGGCCGTAACCTATAAGAACTTTATTTATCTCCGGGCGCCGCCTAAAATCCAGCCAGTGAAACTATCGCAGGCCTAATTTGATGACTTCCGCCAGCGACAGGTCATAATCTATATATGTTGCCGAGATTTAAATTACTATCAGAATGGGAAAATTGATTCAAAATGTACTTGCAGCAGATGTCTGCCTTAATAGTTCTGCATTCCAGGGGTAAGTATTCACCAAAGACGAGAACCTATGACAGAGAATACGATCCTATATGGAGCCTGTCAGGGTGGCTAATAGGAAGTACCCCCACTGCACAAACTTAAAAGCGCTTGAAGAAATGCTTACGATTTTTGGATAGTCTGGAAGGTCAAATTAAGTTTTTGATTCTCTTCTATCCCCATTAAAATAACTCTAGGTCACGCCTCCACTCTACTGTTTCGCGTGGTTTTACGGGATGGCTTTAAGACAGGAACAAACAACTGTTCTTGCTAATATTTGTCCACTTACCTCTCACAGCTGCGGAAATCTTTCATGATCTCTTCTCTTTCCTTCTGCACCATGTCACCATGCATGTATGCAACAGTGAAGTTGTTGCTGCGCATTTTCTCGGCGAGCCACTCCACCTTGCGTTTTGTATTGCAGAAGATGACTGATTGGGTAACCGTTAAAGTGTCGTACAGATCACACAGGGTGTCAAACTTCCATTCCTCGCGTTCGACAGCAACGAAAAATTGTTTGATACCCTCCAGGGTAAGTTCATCACTGTAAAATAAATATTATTAATCTGTGCTCTGGTTGGAAGATAGGCTTTTTTGTACACGATAAAGGAATACTCATTGATGGTAGGAAAGAAAATACAGTTACAATGAAGAGTATGGAATTATCAATTAATGTCTGATGAACGGCAGCTCTAAGGACTATGGTCCCCAACAGGCCTACCGCCCAGACTGATATGATAATTGCTTTGTATCCGAGGTTGGCTTTAAGACTTTAAAATAAAGAGGATAGTGACTTCTTATGCGAAGAAAAACAGGTCGCCATTTAACACAGAAGGGCACGCGTTGTCGCGAGTGCAAATCAGAGTCGGTGGTCTATATACAGATGAATGAAAGCATGCTGCGCACAGGAAAAAGTTAAAGTAGTAGTATTAGTAGTAGTAAATGAAATGTCAAGTGGTCAACTTCAGCACTCATCCACTGCCCCTCTTGTATAAAAACAGCCTACTGGTTAGTCGTATATCGCAAGATACAAGTACAAGTTGATTAGTCCTACTTACGATCAATATACACTCAATTATCAGTCATTCTCAGTATACTTAAGTGATCTACAATTATCCCGGTGCCAGTTCGAAAGGCACTCGATGTTTTTGTACCGTTACCACCAATTACTTGCCAACTTGGACGTTTGTAATTTGGCGTGCCTACAGGTATTTGCTGGTAAGCTCGTTGAAAATACGCCGAATAAATAGCAATGGATCAGCAAAGTTAGCGTGTCGCAAAAAGAGCTGGAGTCAAGCATACTAATAATCATATTTGGAGGCGGCGAGACATTATGCTCGCGCATTGTTAGAAAAGCTACCCCTACTATCTCAATCACAAATTCTGGTTAATAGTGCGGCGTCTTTGGAAATCGATATTTCTACCAGTAGTTCGGACGAACAAGACAGACAGAAAGACAACGTAAACTCTTTTCAGAAATATCTGGGCACTAGTTAATGTAATGCATTCTTTTAAGGCATGCGAAAACACGCAACGCTGCGTGGCGTTGCCTTTTTTTATCACGAATGCCTGTCAAAGGCTTCTAATGTCATAGTTTGTTAGGACTGCACATCTTGTGCCTCCCTTTTCCCGTCGAAATCCCACATAATCATCCATACATGTGGAGGCGAGTTTTCAGGGCTGATGAACTTCTTACTGGCCTATCATAGGATCAATATAAAAATCCGGTGAAGTGCCTAAATGCAAATGATCTTATGTAACATCTAGAGACCGCCCTTACTGTGATAGTTTTCTAAACCTTTCATTATTTACAGATCAAATCCCCCAAACAGACTTGTAAACATTTGCGACGGCCCAGTGCACTGTGTCTCGTACACTATTGACATCTATAATGCTAGTCACTTTGCGGTGCTGACTAAATGCCTCATATATACGCGGCTTGTCGTATCCCACATACGTGGCGAGGCGCGACGGACGACAATGCGTTTTCTTTTTAAACGTCCAGTTTAATGTGGAGAGATTGAGAACTTA